ATATTGAGAAAACATCCCATCCCAGTCCAGATCAAGTCCATAAGCTTGATATTAACCCATATGTGCCATACTGGTCCATGAATTCCTCTTTAGATTCCCATAGCACATGCAACGATGCCAAATACAGGAGGATCACAGACTGGTGGGTGAAAAGTCTTGTGGATCCAATGGTGGTGGAAGCATTTCCGTGTAGACATGGGTCTCCACATGACTCCGCCAGCTCTCCCAGTGTGGCTCCTCAACAGGAAGGTGAAGCAGAGAGAGTGTGGTCCACCTCCAGGGAGAAAGAGAGGAAGTTCCCAGAATCGTCATGAGAAGGCCATGCCCACAAGGAGGCATCATCAGGCTGTGACCTGATTGACAGGCTAGACTCCACCCCTTCACTCTTAATATCCTCAAATTGATACGAGATTATGTAACTACCACACCAAGCAATTTAGCATCATAGGAATAAAGGGGGAAAAAAGAGAGTTGTCCCACGAAGGTGATTCTCGGTCCTTTTGCTGGGCAAGAAGGGGTCCCTCTAAAGGCCCGAAAGTGCCCTTTCTATTGAGGACTTGTGGGACCCCTCCAGAACATTTCTCTTTCCCTGGTTCCCCTAGATCTTAAGTGTTTCACCATATTGCCTGACAAATAATCATAGCCTCAATTTTGTTATGTCACGAATGAAAATTCCTTGATCTCAACCACACTATCAAATTCTGAAGGATAAGGACAGCATTTTTTCCTTCTTCAAACTTCTCCTTTAATAGATTGCTGTAGAAGTCCCAGAAGAGAGACATTTGTGCTCTCCTTATATGCAACATCACGGTCTAGTGTATAAGTTAGCAACAAATTGCACACACGATGCTATTACATTGAAATAATTTATAAGAAAGGCACAAGTGTCGCTGATCCCAATTTAAAAATACAGATTAAAAGATAAAAATCAGATGATTAAAAAAGAAGGTACAAATAAATAACATGTTTTGTGGCTGATTGAGAAAATTGACCCAAGAACTTACATCTGGATGCCCTAGCAACAAAGAAAAGAAGATAGTGTGCATTGTTCAGTAAAAATAGATCATCATTTCAAAAGGAGAAGCCAAATTTTCCTTGACTTTCAATTTCTAAAATAATGTATTCCCTAAACAAAATACATTGGACACTGCATCATAAATAACCATGTCATACAAATGAATCTATGTGACTATTTTGGATTAAAGAGCAAATACAGGCATGTACATATGTAAATATATTTACATATAATGATAGGGAAGTAGATCTATGTACTTATATTTATATGTTAGGTATTTAGGTAGCA